TTGATATTGCTCTCAATCATAACACCCATAATGGCAGTCTCGCCCTGGGCAATCTGCTCCGCCAGGACAGCAGCAACCTTGGGCTGATTCTTGTGGTCCTTGAGGGAGTTGCCATGGCTGCAGTCAACCATGAGCCTCTGGCGCACGTTCTTCTTCGCAAGGGCCTCCTTGGCCTCGGCGATGCTCTTCGCGTCGTAGTTGGTGCCCTTGGTACCCCCGCGGAGGACGACGAAGCAGTCCTTGTTCCCTACCGTGCCGACGATAGCGACAACACCGGGCTTGGTGACTGAGAGGAAGTGGTGGGGGTGCTCGACGGCGCCAATCGCGTCAATGGCGACGTTGAGGGAGCCGTCCGTGCCGTTCTTGAAGCCGACGGGGAAACTCAGGCCACTGGCGAGCTCACGGTGAAGCTGCGACTCGGTGGTTCGGGCGCCAATGGCTCCGAGTGAGAGCAAGTCGGCGAGGAACTGGGGGGAGATGGTGTCGAGCATTTCGCTGGCGATGGGCATGCCTCTGCTGGTGAGGTCGACGAAGAGCTGTCTCGACAGGCGGAGGCCCTTGTTGATCTGGAAGCTGCCGTCGATGTCGGGGTCGTTGACGAGGCCCTTCCAGCCGACGGTGGTGCGAGGCTTCTCGAGGTAGGCGCGCATGACAATCACGAGCTCGTCCTTGTGCTTCTCCTTGGCCTCGAGTAGGAGTTTGCAGTAGGCGAGGGCAGCCTCGGGGTCGTGGATGGAGCATGGGCCAACCATGACCAGAAGCCTCTTCTTCTCGTCGGTGTCAGTGACGACAGCAACGACCTCATCGCGACCCTGCTGGACGGTTTTCTTGGATTCGGGGCTCTGGGGGATTTCGGCCTGAAGCAGGTAAGGAGGGATCAGAGGGTTGTAGCCGCGGACTGGAGGCAATTGGAAAAGTCATTGTTAGCTGCTGGCCCAATGGCTGTGGAGGAGGTGTTGGGTGCAGGCAGGCAATGGGCACTCACTTCTCCAATCCTCAGACTCCTGCTGATCGCCAACATGTTTGTTGTCAAGAAAGAACTACACGCAATTGAGTAAGCGCCTGTGTTACGAGAAGATGGCCCAACGTCACGATGTTCGAGAATTGGGAATCCAATTTTCGGACTGATGGCGGGGGAGGGGCAGTGGTGTCCATACCGACATATTGAATGTAGTGCAAAAATAAGGGTATCACAGCGAAGAACAGGCAAGGAGAATGGAATAAAATAAAGTGGAAGTGGAAAGGGAGGTTTGTGCTCGAACAAAAACAGCCCAAACCAGAAACTCGAGTTGCAGAGATCAAAGTGATAACTTTTTCTGCCCCTTGGTAGTTTTGGAGAAAAAAATTACTCCAACGGCCAGGTATTCGCTGTGAGCTGCGACTCACAGCTTCGGCGCCGATGGACGGTACAAACCTTACCTTCCCCTAGTAGCTTGCTTGACTCACCACCAGTTCCGAACCGTTCGCCCTTCTTGTAACGGGTACATGCATGCTGCTATTACCTGGGACCCATTAGACCGGTCACTATTTGGGAATCCTTTTTTCCCTCTTACTCGAGCAGACCAGGCCCCTCTCCGTCCACTACGCGGGTAGAAGGAGAAGTGATGGTCAACATGTTACTCGTCATTGGCTGGCCATATTTTTCACCTGTTACCTACAAGAGGCAACTTTCTCTTACTGCCCGAGTACCTCTGCAAAAAGTTACCTTGAAATGCTCCCTCCAATGCAAAGTCTCGGCAATAAAAACTAAATGATGAACTAATTGGCCCCCAGCTCATCAGCTTGAATACCAGCTTGACCCCCAATGGAAGCTCTGTAACACCATACCTTGTCCTCTAAATGGTCTGAGACCGCGGGATGTATTGGAGTTGAGGGTGTGCACCCTGGCAGCTCCGTTATCGCAGGCGGTGGGACCACGACGTAATACCGCCAAGCAAGACGGCCCTTCTTTTCTCTACGCGCGATTGCCTGCATATGCTTCGCTTCCATTGGGACCCAAAAGGATCGATACGTAAATGGGTCTTGGTCAATTGGTCTCATTCGTTTTGCTTGCTTCATTTCCCATTGAAATCTGGGCGGCCCGAGCGGGTTATTATGATACATCTATGTTCAAAATCTTTATATCTTCCTCTGGTTTCTCTTTGTGCGTCCTGGCATTCTCGATCTTGTGCACCACGTCAAAGCCCTGCGTGGCTCGACCAAAGACGGTGTGTTTACCGTCCAGCCACGGCTGTTGCGTGTTAGCTTCGTACATTCAACTCATCAGGGAGGAAGAGAGAGGGTAAGGACTTACTGTTTTCTCCGTGGTGATGAAGAACTGACTCGCATTGGTGTTGGGGCCTGCGTTGGCCATGCTGACCGTATATGGCTTGTCGTGCTTCAAACTGCTAAACTCGTCCTCAAATTCTCGACCCCAGATACTTTCACCTCCAGTACCATCACCCAGGGGGTCACCACACTGAATCATGAATTTTCGAATTACGCGGTGAAATATCGTGTTGTTGTAATATCCGCGCTTCGAGTGCGTCACGAAGTTTTCGACTGCCTTGGGAGCCGCGTCTGGGTATAAGCGGATGTGGATATCTCCATATGTTGTATGGATCACCGCTGCGGTACCTGTCTCGGTCTTTTTGACCTTTGTCTCCTTCTTTTGCCCGATCATCGTTGGTCGTTCATTTTGGATATCTCTTGTGGATTTAGAGAACTCCTCGTCGTTTGTGAACATGTAAAATCGCACCTTCCCAGCCGCGGTGGCGATGAGTACTGGATCGCGCGTCTCGGATTCCTGTAGAAGAGGGTTGCTTGAAGCACTCATCTCCACTGTCGTCACACCCTTCTTCTGCGGCTGGCCCTGGTAGATGGAGAGGTTTACAGCGCGTAGGTTCTCGTCTTTGCCATAAACCTTGACGACCTGGTTTGTGAAGATGTTGATGACCTTGATCCCGACCATGGTTCCATATATGATGAAGTTTCCGGACTCGTCAAATATGACGTTGGTCTTGTTGGTAAACAGACCTGATTCCACTTCCCGTTCCTGCGCAAGTCTTCTCCCGAACTCGACATTGTCGAGCTTGGATGAAGAACTTCCTGCCTGCTGCATGTCCTCGAGAGCTTGCAGCGATTCGTCGTAGGTACGGTGAAGCTTTCCGGTCCCGAAATCGAAAATTCGCAACTTGCGATCTGGGAATGAGAAGGTGGCAAGCTGCTTCCCATCACCTGATAAAGTGAGGCAAGACGGCACCGACTTGGCCTTTTTGAAATCGAACAGGTTCGTTGAGCTCTTGTATTCGAAGACGTTGTCTGGTTTCTCGTAGTTTCCGCTCGGTCGCCAATATTCCACCATGCCGTTCTCGTCCGCCGATACCACGCAATCGTACTGCTCATTATAAGCCATCACATGAACGGGCTTGCGGTGGAGCCCCTTGATGGTATGTATAGGGTCCTCCTTCTCCCCTCGTCCATCGTAGATGTGTATCAGGGGCTTCTCCTCTTCGGAGATGGCCAGTTGAGGCAGGGAAGCCCCCTTCTTGTGAACCCAGCATACGCACTTTGGCACATATGACAACGAGAGTATAGACAGTAAATCAAAGGTGACTACATCGAAGATCTTGACTGTCTGGTCGACTCCTGCTGTCGCGAAACTGCTGCCGTCCTGGCTCACAGACACCGACATGATCTCGCCGTCGTGGGCCTTGAACTCCTTGACAAACTCGATAGCCTCTGCGTCCTTCTTCCAAAACTTGACCACGCCATCCACGGAGGAAGTGATGAGGAATTCGGTAATCGGCGTCCAGGTGGTGAAGAGAACCTGGTCCTTGTGCATCAAAGACCTCGAGTACCGGGCAGATTTTGGAAGCGCCGCGACGTAGAGCTTCTCGTGTCGGAGGACTCGACGTTTTTTCTTCGGTGCTGCGGCCGAGGGCAGCTGAGGCCCCATATCATCATCGGATGAGGAGTCATCTGTCCCAATTGTTAGTACGTGCGACCGGTCGCTCTGGACCAGAGCGCATGCGACAGTGGTGTATTTGTTTACCTGAGCTATCCCCATTGGCCTCGGAGTGACTGCGCTTCTGACTGCGCTGTTCGTCCTCTGCGGCCTCAGGACTGGGAGCCATTGTGTATGTTCACTTTGCACTTTCTCAAGTTTGCTGACGGAATAGTGACTTGGACCGTGGGGAGTTGGTTGATTCACAGGCTTGGTGGAAGAGAGCTACCTGATCTGCACTTCCTGGGAAGTTATTTAGTGTGGCGCGTGCTCTCAGACATGTGGCGCATCCAGATGCCTGCAAGACCCCTGTTCTTTTTTTGACTTCAGGCGGTGGAGCTGTATAAATGGATAATGGACGTACCTAGAGTCCAATAAGCAACTTAATCTAGAACTACAATGTAAATTATCTATCTTTCAGACCGACCAAGACGACAATTGAGGTGAAAACAGACACTACATCAATATAAAGATTTTCAACCATTTGCCTTGATGATAAGGTCAACTGGAAGCTCTCCCGACTATCTCTCAGTGTGCCAGTCCATCATATACCGCCCATTTTGATGTATTGGAATTGCATCAAGTACCGTTCGAGACCGTTCAAAACAACTCAATGAATGAAAGAACATAATGATTATCGTGCTATATATTTGAGTCTTGTGGCGGAATGGAAGAAAAAAAACGGCGTGGTCCGATGCATAGATTGAGTGTCGCATTTTTGAGACGGCCTTGGCACATGGATAAGAAGAGTTGGGCGAGTAAGCGAATGTCTTCTAGTTAAAGCCATCCAGAGTCATTGAGAGAATCAGCCTAATCCATTGTGATATCTTGCCATTTCGATGCGCTTGAATAACCTGCCACACGAGAGCCGAAGCTCAAGCTGTATAAGAAACCAAAATCTCGAGAATGTTCTCACAGTGTTCATCGCATCTACAATACTGGTATTATAGCGACTGCAGGTGTGACGAAACTAATTCTAAAACAATTGCTGGCTCCTCTACCAGCATTCATGCTGCTAGCACACTACCTGGTGGATGGTGTAGACTGGTCGTTGTCCTCCAGAGCACTGGACTTCGAACATGATAGTCATCCCGTTGCCATACATGTCCACCCCAGAAAACTGATCCCTGGAAACTATGCTGTTACCCTCTGCTGAAGCCATATTATATCCATCCTGAGCTGTAGCGGATTCAACCACTCCCGATTTGTAGGACCCTATAATGGGGCACGTAAAGCCCTGGGTTGTATGTGAGCAATGGTGCAGCATCGGAATTAAAGAGACCACTTACAAATGCAAGGTTGACTTCAATACCGGGTTCAATGTAAAGATTCCATGCATTACCTCCAGTGACGCCGCTCGCCGAATTTTCACTCTGCACGCAAGTGAACTGTCCAACGGACCAGGCACCAACCTCAGTTGGCCACGTCTCATATCTTCCCGAATAGAAGTAGGCTGGCGGGCGAACTTGAAGATTGAATTGTGTGAGATTCTTCACGATGCCTTGAATCCAGCGAGGTCTGCTCTGGGTGGCACTGCTTGGTTCGGGGTTTGGAATTGCAAGTGTCTTGTCAGAAATTAGTCAAAGTATCGACCATTCAAGGGATGAATAATACATTTGCGGTCTTTTCTTGTAGTTCCTGTCTCGTAACAAAAGGAGCTTGGACTTGAGGCATTTTGGTGGATGCAGAGCTTAATTGAATTCTCAAAGCTCTTCAAAGATTTCAGGGAGGTGCTTTGAGTTGTGCACTGGATTGATTGAGTTGTACGATGGATTGTTTGATGTAGTCGACAAGGTGGTGGGATTAGGGAAAGCTGCTCTATTTATAATTCTCATTGCATGCATCGAACGGTATTGCTGTACAGCCTCATGGCCTCATTCTCTTGTACAAACCACTAGATCTCGGTCAAGTTGCCACATTCAGTGCTTCGTGAGCCTGAGTACCGCCCGAGAGCATGTGTTTGTCTTTGGAGTTACGTTGCTGTCTCACACCACGGGCCGAGAACGCAACACTCCTTGCCATACCGATACTCAAGAACAGACCTTTGGCTTTTTTGGTGAAAATCGGCATAGTGGCAGGCTAGAGTCTCAAGCATCTATGACGTTCTACCCAGCTGCCGACATGAAACTGTTCTCGGAGGCGACAATTTATTTGGTAGATAATGCAGCATCGAGTCCTTTTATAAGGGAAGCCTGGCTGTGTAGTGAGAATCTGAAATCTCGAGCTGTGCAGGGGCGAGACCAGATCATCATCCGACTGTACATCAGCCCTGTTGGGGACATGGCACAGCCCATCTCACGAAATTGCACATTCGGGCCGGTGATACATTGAGGGGGACCAATACAACAAGCATGCTGTTTTAGTTTCTGTAACATCCGCTCCGTTGTGACGTTTTGATGTCTGGGAGCGGGATTGGCAAAGGGACAGATCCTTGAAATGATCATATGGCGCGGCACTTGGTTGTTTAAGTATATGGTATTCGGCCTGCATGCCTCTGATAGGCCAATATTGAAGCCAACGACATGTTGGGCAATTTTGTCACGAATTGTCTGCGAACAACTACGAACCTATCCAAATGCAGCCGCAATCTGCTTGGTGGATCTTGGCTCTGGGTATGCCAACATCGGCATACTCGAGAACAGGATATCCACTTCGGAGTCAATTCGTGAAACAGAACAACTGTAAGTCCAATGAATTCCTTTGATTGCCTGAGACTGACATGTCGGGGCAAAGACTTGGAACAATCGGGCCAGGCTCTCGACCTCAAGCCTTAATTCGAGTCTCCAGAACATGTAAGAACTCGAAGGAAGCATAGTCCACTTGCAGCCACTTCTAAAGCTCTTACAGGCCTCAATCGGTGACCAAGTTCTCCTGAAATATCCCAGATCCAGCGTTCTAGGCTCAAATTTCAATTACCAGATCAAGAATTGGACACTGACCTTTGGCGACATCATCGCACTCTCTGGTGACTTCTACTATAGTTGGCAGATTGGTGACTACATGCCTTCGATTAGCTTATGGTGACAAACAACTTGGTCAATGCCGATCAGGTAAGAACCGGCAAATGGTTGCTGCAGCTAGCCAAGCCAGCGTTGAGGATGTCTGGGATACTTTCCAATCCGGCAAGATTCCAGAAACCGCCGAGCTTACAGCTCTTAAGAAGGTATGTCTAGTTCCATCCTCGATATTTGCCATTACTAGCCGTGGCTAATAGGGACCTTCAATCCAAGACCGCTCTGCCTGAGAAAACCTTGAACGTGACAAACTCAGTATCGCTTTTCGGAAGGGACCCGAAGGATGCAAGCCGGATGCTCTTCCGGCAGAATATTGATAACCGTGCTATTGCCAAGTCCAGGAAAACCATCAATGATATCCCGAATAATGACGACTGGGCTATTTACCTCAAGGCCATCACCGAATCGGGCTCATCAAAAAATATGTATGTATATTCAAGGCCCTTTCCTCAGATCAACGCTTCCTCCATCTTGGTCGGATGGAAACGGGGAGCTCGGACCTGGTTTCAAACCTATACGTCTTATCCTGTGGGTTTGCTACAGGGTCCCCTAAAGAGAGGGTGCATGAAGAATGATCCCAATTTTCGACTGGAGCTATCGAAAAGAGTCCGGAATCTCCATACAAATGACAGATTGTGTCAAATGATCTGTTTAGCTACCTATTGCAGCAATATATAGAGCGAGGGTTGGGATGTTAGTGAATCCTGGTCTCCCGCTGCACCACCGAGACGGCCCGGGTTTAGCACAACTTACAAAATAGCCACAATGAGACCTCCCTTATGTCCAATCCTTGTCTTTAAATGAGCCATGCCAATTGTCGACGGTATATGGAAGGAAGACGCGATTGCCCCCATTATGATTCTGCCGAGGTCCGTCCCACTTATTCGCAGAAATTACGGGCTGGATGAGGTCACGACTGAGCTCCAGCATCGCTACAGTGAATCTCGGACTCTTAAATGCACCCGCCATCCGTCGACGCTCCTTTTCTCAATATCTCATGATTGCGGGCAGCCACATGCGTTCTGATCCCTCACCGCATACTCTCCATCACCTTCAATGGCCCAGCATCACCTCCAGCGGCTCACGTCGCCTTCGCGCAGCTTCTCGCTGCTCCTACACCTCTTAGGAGCGGCCTCCTTTAGCTACAACTTCCGCTTCCTGACACTATGGAAAACTCCATTCGACGAGGCCTACGGCTGGCATTTCCAGTTCCTCACCATCATCGGCCTGTCGGCCTCGCTCCTGGCCTTTGTCCTGGGCATCTTGGCAGATCTGACCCTCAACCCGACCTTGTTCAGGGCCAAGAACACCATCTGCATCGTTGCCACCCCGCTTGAGGTCCTGATCTCCATCCTCTACTGGGGGATTCACATGATCAATCCCGAGCTCCTCTTCGAAGGCGATTTTCAGTTGCCGCTCCTCCCCGACCTCGGATTCCACCTCGCCCCGGCCGCCTTCCTCAGCCTGGACCTCATTCTGCTCAGTCCCCCCTGGACAATACCTACGTACGGCGTCATGTCCCTCAGCACCGCCTTGGCATTTTCTTATTGGTACTGGGTTGAGCTGTGCTTCAGCTACAACGGATGGTAAGCCGTTTTCTCGTCCTCATCCTCGTCAGAAGGCTCTTTTGTTAATTAACATCGCTTGCAGGTACCCGTATCCTCTCTTTGGGCTCTTAAACACGTATCAGCGCATATTCTTATTCACATTTTCTGCCTTGTTGACCACCGGCTCGTCCGTTGGACTGAAATGGGTGTATGCGCGCGTGAACGGCTATGATAAAGCGCGGCATGAAGCTCATAAACCTCTGAAGAAAGTTAATTAAGATGCTATAGAAATAAAGCCCACGCCCCGAGATCCTCGTCTAGTAGAGGGAACCGTCTATCGGTTGGATAAATTAGTTGAAAGATGATATAGATGCAAATACTCAAAAACCAACCCCCGATTACACACAAAACCAATAGTCTATGCCGTTTGTCCAAATGCTAACCCAAGAAAAACCTCCTGCTTTAATTATCGACCTCCAGAATGGCAACACCAGAGATGGTGTTTTCGTCGCTGATTGTATTGTTCTCGCCCCCGTCCGCAGTGCTAAGTACGAGATACACCTGACCCGCCGGGGCCGGCTGCCCTGCCTTGGAGAAGTCCGCGCCAGGGACAGTGGCAGTATACTGTTCATTTATTGATTAGCGATTGTTTTGGAGATGAGAAGAACATGGGGAAAACATACATCGTTACCAGAGCGAATAGCTGGGACATGGTACGTCTGCAAACCCGAGAAGAAAACAGCGAATACCTTGGTGTTCTCAGTGACGGATCCGGCATTCTGAGCGTTTTGAAATGCATTGGTCAAGACGACATTCCCCTGACCGGCATGGTAGGTCGGGGATGATGTTGGGTTCGTCGCCGTCAGTGGGGGGAACGCCTTAAAGGGCAGGTTGGTACCAGGCGCGAAGCCAGTCACAAACTGCGCGGCTAAGGAAAAGACCTGGTTGAAGCCGAGAGGAGTGTCGAATGGGTTGGGAATCGGTTTCTGGCCCAGAGCCGCACGGATATAGGACGAATGCCGAGCCTCGACAGCCAGGATGGATCCAGCCGCAGTAAGATAGTTCTTGTCGGCGATGGCTGGGGCAGCTCCCAGATACGCCGAAGTTCCAACACCTTCGAGGACGGAGGAGAGGCCGATGAAAGAATGAACGTCCTTGACCGGGAAGGAGAATGTGGGTTCCTGGATGGCCTTGGGGCCTAGAGCTCCAGCCAGGAAATCAACATGCGTCTAAGAGTATTGTTTTAGCAAGAGGTGTCAACGGGTTTCTAAAGGAATAGACGGTCTTACCTGCTCATCCCGGAGAACGGTCTTCATCTGTTCATAGAAATCGGGAGAGAAGCCGGCGTTGTGGAAGTCTTGTGCAGTGAAATTTTGCAAGCCTTCGGTGTAGAACCGTCTCTCCAAGAACTCCAAGGTCAAGGCATAGTTGAGAATGGAGATGTCACCACCGTTGGGTGCCGTTACATTTCGAGAGTTGACCGGCGCAGCAGTGGCGGGTAGAAAGAGAGAAGCTGCGAAGCTTGCAAATAGGGTATAGTAGATGTGATACATTTTGGGTGATTCAAGTATTTCAAACTGGGTAATGACTCTGGGATGGGATGGGATGAGAAGACAAATTGAACATCTCCAGGACGAGACCTGTATCTTATATAGAGCATTCTTTGACCATCATAATAATCTACCGGGTCTATCTCTTCTAATCCGCCACAACAATTCACTGTATCCAGCCCCAATGCATCGGGGCGCAATCAGTCATCATCTCGTGATATGTGGCGCGGATCTCAATCATTCCGTGATCCTGCTGGACATGTTGAAACCTGCCAGACTGGCGGCCGACCACATCTTGACGCTTATAATAACATTGAGGCTATCCAAGCCTCAGCCGGCAGTGCAGATTCTCCCGGATACAAAAGCTTCCGGAGCTAAAGCCGTCAGCACCAGCGATGATGGAGGGGCGGGTTGGCGTTTCGAAAGGGGCGCAACGGCCCAAGATGTCACTCTATGCTCCCTAAAATAGACCTGCCAGTGCATTCCTCTTGCTGACTCAGTTGGCAGTTTCATTCAAATATATCTTCAATTGCAACGCTTACCAATATCTCTGCTCACAATAGTAACCAGGTAATAGATATCTTCCAGAATAGAAAAATATTTAGGAGTCTATAACATTACGTCTCTAGTGTTTTAATTTATATTTTCCTTCACACCTGTCATCTCTTCTGATTCTTCTATTACTCGGTATTGTTTAGTGACCTCTCTCGTACTAGAGGCGGACACTCCCTCTTGAGGATAGCCAAGCCCATCACCAATTAGATGTATTTAAAAAAGAAAGAAATATTACCGTAGATCACGATTTAAACCAAGAATGTAGCTCATGGATCTTGCTTATCTTACTTGAGCCTGATAAGATGCCTCTGTCGAACAAGTCGGTCTCTTGTGATCAGTGCAGTACAGTGTCATTAATGTGGCCTGTGGCTTGTATGCACTGTATACCGACCACTTTTGGGACACTTCGGATTGTTACACCATTCGCGAATTCATTCGAGCCAACCCAATTGTGAACCAAACTTGGACGTAATCCCGGCAATCAGACCAGATCGCGTCTTTTCAATTGAGTCAATCTAGTGTGAAAACACGCAAAAACGAAACCACGCGCACATCCCACCATGGATATTGACGATATCTTGAGAGAAGTCGATCCCACCTCTAGCGGGGTGCCCAACGAGACGAGCGACCTGCAATCCCTGACGCGTCTCTGGGTTGCCGAACGCTCTGCTCCCGAGCTCCTGGGGTGCGCCATTGCCTTTCGATTTTACGTGTCTTCTTCCAACTGCAGCTACTGACCAGGTTTTCCGCAGGTGGCCCTTTGGCGGTTTGTTTGAACGCATCAATGACAGGATCAAGGCGCAGATCGAGAAGATTGAGATCTTGACGGGTGACATGGACCCCAAGACCAACTTCGCCTTGATCGTCATCCAAACAGAGCTTGAAAGGTATAAATTTCTCGTGAGGAGTTATCTAAGGGCCAGGATAGCCAAAGTAAGAAAACTACAAGCCCGCCTTCTGCCCCAAAACCGCGCCCAATATCACATATGGCAGCCACTAATAGCAAAATCAGATCGACAAGCATACTCTTCACTATCTATCGAGTGAGGAGCTCAGAAACAAGCTGTCGGAGACCGAGCTCGCCTACGCAACAAGGCACCAGGCCCTCCTCCACAACCACTATCTCTCCTCCTTTCTATCCTCCTTCCCCACGCAGCTGCAGAACCTAAACGACACTGCGGGAAATGTCAGCATGATTGACTCCCCTGATCTGGATGCCGCTGTGTTCATACGCATGCTTCGTGACCGAGAGGTGACTGGCCAAGGCACAGATGCGGACATCACGTTGAACGCGAGCAACGGCGAGATTCTGATTCTGAGGTGGTCAAGTGCCAAATCCATCGTCGAGGTCGGTGATGCCGAGCTTGTTTAAAATCTGCCTTTACTATGATCTCTCAAGATTCCAGAGAGCTATTGCGTCGTGACACTACGTCTTGTGTCGGCCGCTTGTTATTCAGCGTCAAGCTTGCTCTGGTTCACTCTGTAAAGTGACATGGAACATTCAAAGCCGCCGCGGGGTCTCATGAAATGACCCCGGGATATGGTGAATGTTCAAGGCATGCTGAATACACCAACACACTTGGTCGATGCTATCCTCAAGCCCTCGCATGACCAGCCAACGCAAATCTTTTACGGATGCTGCCTTCTTCCACCAAGAAATGAACAGGCCACCATTTTCAATTGAGATTACGGCGCCAAGTAGCTCTTTAAAACCACACATGCCCTTATTAGTTGGGCTCACCTCTTCTCATTGGAAAGCACACGCATCAAGGAACACGGGTCGCATCGATGCAAACAAATCACATTCTCATCATGTCCAGACAACCTACTCAGAAAATGCAAACAATCTAGATAGCCATACAACAGTCCCTGTCTTGGGGGGCAAACCAGCCCAAACGAATGATCAAAAGCAAATTTCAACCCCAACTCCAAAATCTCTGTCAAAGGTAACTCCCTTACGCAATGCAAGGAGTAAAAAATCAATCTTGCCTTCCGGAATCCGTATAGCTCATGTAGCAAACTCAAAGAATACAACTCGTTCCTCCTTCCCCTTTATAACAAAACAAAACAAACAGTCTGATGAATGCTGAGCCTGCCTGCTCAGTATCTAACAATCTCACGCCGGATGTGCGTGCTTGACCTTGAGAATAGTCCAAATAGAATCATACCGCCATGCTCATCGAGTCATAATCGTCATTCTTCTGGACGTATCTTCGTTGTGTCGTTCCCAGAACGCGCCATAAAGGACAGAGCGTGGTCTTTGGCAAAAAAAAAAACAAATCATAATCAAAAATCATATGCTCGCAAAATACGAATCATTCTCGTGATATAATCACCCCCATGTCGGTAGGTCGTTGCAACTAGTGGCTCATTTCTCTCCAACACCCTTCGAGAGATAGCGGTGTCGGGATGGCTTCCAAGTCTGCATTGTATTCATTCTGATACGCTCGGTATAAAGATTGAGGACACCTGGCTGCGGGGGATGTGTCCCTCCGCGTGAATCTTAGTGCACGCTGGGGGGAGACCACCCAGGGTACCCGACAAGCTGAAGATGCGGAGCTGGTTTCCGAAATCTTGAGAGAGGCGGAATGACTCCCGGTCGGTGTTGGGGTCGCCGTGTCGTTTGCTTGACTTTCTCGGGACAACTGGGGTTATGGTTGTTATTGTTGTGACTTGGGTTGGTGCATCCGTGGTATAAGGGCCATCTGAGCTGACGCTGCTGCAGTCGGGAGTGACTGATACTGCCGTTTGGCCTTCTAGCATCTCAAGCTCTTGCGTCTCATGCATCTCATGCTCTCGAGTCTCGTGCTCTTGAGTCTCATGCATCTCATGCTCTTGAGTCTCATGCTCTTGCGTCTCAAGTTGTTGCGTCTCAAGCTCTTGCGTCTCACACTGTTGCGTCTCAAGCTGTTGCATCTCAATCTGTTGCGTCTCAAGCTGTTGCGTCCCAAGCTGTTGCGTCCCATGCTCTTGCATCTCAAGCTGTTGCGTCCCATGCTCTTGCATCTCAAGCTGTTGCGTCTCAAGCCGTTGCGTCTCAAGCTGTTGCGTCTCATGCTCTTGCGTCTCATGCACGGGTATATCGGGCTGCTGCTTTTCGGCACTATCTTGCACCGTTGTTTCCTCTGGCGATTTGGGACGTTCGTAGATCTCCTCTTGCAGCACGATCTCGAGCTGCTCTTTGGCACTCTCTTGCACCAACGTTTCCTCTGGCGACTTGGGACGTTCGTAGATCTCCTCTTGCAGTACGATATCGAGCTGCTCTTCGGAGCTCTCTTGCACCGCTGTTTCCTCTGGCGACTTAGGACGTTCGTAGATCTCCTCTTGCAGTACGATATCGAGCTGCTCTTCGGAGCTCTCTTGCACCGCTGTTTCCTCTGGCGACTTAGGACGTGTGTATATCTCCTCTTGCAGCACGATCTCGAGCTTCTGTTCTTCAGGAATGAGGACTTTGGTGGCAGAATCGTCTGATGTGGAGCTAACTTCTCGTGGAATCTCATATGTCGAGGGGACAACTGTCGAGGGGACATCTGTCGAGGGGACATCTGTCGAGGGGACATCTGTCGAGGGGACATCTGTCGAGGGTACATCTGTCTCTTCTTCGTCTAGGTTTTCGATGAGTCGGAGGGTTGCATCACCGAGGTGTGCGGAATGGTGGATGACAGAAGGTTCCTCGGTGTAAGTATCTGACATGCTCGATCCGCGCGTGGACTTTGAAAAGGTCCTTCCTCGCGCGCCTTTGGGGTTCGTCCCCCATTGATCTGTAGCAGACGGCTTGCGGGCGGACGACGGGGTAGCGACACCATCAGTCTGTTGGGCGCTATCGATATCTGCCAGGCTCGGTGTCGAAGCGGGCGAGGCGTCGCCCTTGGCCGAGACCATGCCTTCCATGCAGTCGTAGTCTTGCGTTATGTTGAGCTGTTCCTCATTCTCGGGAGAGGTGAGCTGTGCCTCATTCTCGGAGGTGGTGGAGGGCTCGGGGGAGTCGACGCGGAGGTTCTCCTGCCTGGCCTTCTTCACAATCTTGCGTTGCGAGAGGCAGATTGACACGGGGGGCGTGGTAGAGTACTTGGACAGGTTGTCCTCGTCGCAACCGGGCGTTATCTTCAGGTTTATCATGAACCCTACTTCGCCGAGGCTGCAGGTGTCCTTGCACACGGCAGTTATGTCTTGGCCGATCCGTTCCCGAAGCAGCTTCAGGATTGCCAGTCGGTTCTCTGCTTCTGTCTGGGCTTGGTTGGTGCTCTGAACGGCAGCAGTCGTTTCCGGTTCGATGCCTGGGATAAAGGTATCCAAGACAAGGTGTCCTCGCTTGTGCGCAGTGACGGCAGCCGAGAAACCTTGACCCTGCAGTGTCTTCGTCAAGCCAGCTTGAACTCGCTCCAGGACGGCTTCGATTGTCGTCCGACACTCTGTGATGGAGCAATCAAGAGATACTGCCAAGGCTCTCTCCATGGACCAGTCTTTGCATGATAGATACTGTATCTGTACCCTCAGGTCATCCAGACTCCCGATTCCGGCGTCGGCTTCGTCTCGGAGATCCTCTACATTCCCCTCGATCAGCTCCACAAACTCGTCGAAATCGACGGTCTGGTCTTGGGTGAAGAGAAGTTGGAATGTCTGAATCTTGAAGTTGAAGTGGGAAAACTCCGGTCCAATGTTGTTTCGAAGCTTGACCTCGAGTCCAAATGCGTCTTCCTCATAATGCTGGCAGCCACCGGTCCCCTCCAGGCCATTGCAGCCGAAATGGGCCTCGTCGTACGCCGTCTCCCGGCCTTCAAAGGCGCGTTGGATCGTGTCCTGGACCTTGGCCATCAGGCTTTCTCCGGAGTGCAGGGTGAGCGGTGAGTTCTGTCGACTCTCGATATTCTTCGCCCAGTTCCGTGCGTGGCCGCGGTGTTGGGTCTTGAGGGAAAGTTCAATGGTGTATCCCGGCATCCCGCTATAGTTGGGAATGCAGTCCAGTGGCTGAGCGCATCCGATGACGGGCTTGTATGTCTTGTGAGGTATCTGTTCCTCGCTCACAACAGGAGGAAGTTCCCAGTGGAAGCCAGGGTCGTGGCGTTGGAGAAAGAGGGAAATTATCCTATCGGTTCCGTAGATGACCTTACGCGCCGCCGCGGCGTCCATGGGCTGTTTCTGGAAGCAGGCGAAGTACTGCTGGCCCCAAGGCTGGCCATCACGCTCGACCTGGAAGATCAGATGGTAACGGGCATCCTTGATATGAGGGGGGGAGCTCAAGAGAGGCTGGGCCGCATCCGGGTCGTGTCTTGTGATGAGCTCGTTGGCACAATGCTGGATACGGTTGACCAGCGCGTTGCAGATCTTGTCCGAACCCACGAACTCGGGCGAGGTCTGGTAGGTGTGGCTATTAGTGTAGTCCACGGGAAGCTCGAACCGAGCTGTCACTGTGATGCGAAGTCCGGCTGCTGTCTTGGGGATCACAGTCTCAGTTACTACTGATACTGCTGGGACTTCATTCTCAGTGGTCTCTTCGGACCCGGATGGTGTGGTGGCAGCCTTCTCTTCACTCTTGGTGAAGCTGGTTGGGAGCTTTTTCCAAAGCTGCCGGAGGCCTTCTTTGGCCTTCTCGGCCTTGGGACGTATCTTGCGTCCCAACATGGTTGGGGGAGATCCTCGCGTGGGAGTTGCGAGGCGGGAAGCCTTTCGTCCTCGTTTGGGGGAGGATGTTGTTTTTCAACAAGACAAAAGAAAAGAAGGTTGGGAAGTCACGAAGAAAGTAGTGCGAGGATGATGCGAATATTTGAACACGGGAGCTGTGGTCAAAATAAAAATCTGCATGTGCATGCAGAGGAAGTCGAGTATGGGGAAATACGTGGTGGTGACGGAGAGGGTGAGGGGGGCCCTTGGCTGTCAACAGGAACAGCAGAAGCGCCCCCCTTGGTCCAAAACAACAACTGGTCTCATAGCAACCAGCATTAGGGTTCAGCAGACGTCCTAATGATGGCATGGACAGCAGCGGGCAATTGGGCTGCTGGGCAGGACACTGGAACGTGCCACCCGAGACAGCCAGCTGTTGGCGGCTGTCAGGAAACGGTCCATCTGCAGAGGGCACAAGGGGAGAGAGCACCGCGGAAAATGCGGTCGGTGACCAGCCACCAGCGACGGGCCACGTATGTGCCAGGTGGGAGGACCCGTACACGCAGCAAGATAGGAGGAAAAAAGCACTGGGTTGTCTGTCGTTGGGATTGTCAAGCCTGGATCGCGGGAACAGCGCCGTCCACTGGGACCTTGTTCCTCAGTGGGGTTTGGCCAGCTGACACATGGCAGCGATTGCGATATGCCTGCCAGCTCTGTCCACGTCAAAACAGAAACGCTGCAGAAGGACGGAAGAAACATCCTCGTCGTCACTCTCGCCTATGCTTGCACGCCCAAAAAGATGGAAATTGATATTATCCTTATTCTCGTGATCTAAATAAAAAAAGACTGCTCACATAAATCCCATTTCAACTCCTGATGTGCCAGAGCCTGATCCTACCCCCGTCGTTGCCCACCGCCAAAAGATCACTCCCCCTGCCAAACGCGATCGCCGTAACCCGACCGAGCGGCGTCGTCTCCGTCGGCCAATTCCTGTACACGGTGCAGCTCGGCAGGTGGACTAGCCTTACCGCATCCTTCTTGTGCTGCGACCCAAACGCCAGCAGCTGGCCGTCGGGCGAGAAGGTGAGCACCGTGATGGGTGTGACGAGCTGCTCCAGGACCCGCTTGGGCGCCGGCCGCTCCGTCACAATCACCTCGCCCTTCTTCTGCTGCTGCACCAGCTCGTTGCGGTCGTAGACGTTGGTGATGCCGCTGTTGGAGCCCACCGCAACCCAACGGTCACCGCCCAGCCCTGCCGGTCCGTTGTGCCCCCCGAGCGCAATCACGATGCCTCCCACACATCCCTCGTCGTTCCAGATCCCGACAAACTTGCGGCTCTCCATGCTATACTCTCCCACCTGCCCATCCTTGCCCAAGATTGTCATGCCGTCCCCTGTGCTCCACCAGGCAAAGTCCGCGATGCCGTTCTGGCTCGCAAGCCTTGCCGCCGCAATCCACTGCATTGACCCGGTGCTCAGCACATTGATGATACCGCCACCCTTCTTCGTAGAGGCTACAATAGCCATGTATCGTCCGCAGGGACTAAGCTTGAATCTCTCCATGGACTTGTGCTCCAGGCGATGGCCCTGGATATTCGTAGTCTTCTGCACCAGCCCGGATGGCAAGTCCCAGTGATGAAAGTACTTTCGCCGCCCGGAGAAGAACACCTTATCTCCCTTCGGGTACAGGAACTCGGCCCTTCTCACATCCACCTGCTTGGCCTGAACCGACGTCAACAGAGGGTTGGGCGTTGGGTGCGCCTCGGGCGCAATGTGATGCAGAAATAGAACCGAGGCCGTGCTGGCAGACAGGAGCACGGGGTACTCAGGGTGAAACGACAGCGACTCCACGCCGGCCTTGTGCTTGTCGGGGATCTCACGGGTTCGCTGGATGTCAATGACCTCGGGTCGCAGCTTCCGCTTGCCTTGGGAAGCGCCGCGCCCGGCCAGCTGGTTGACATCGCGAAGGAACTTCTCGAGCGGCTGCGCTTCCACATCGTCGTCACTGCCAGACTCTTCGCTTGAGGCATCCGACGCAGCGGCAGAGGACCGTCTTCTTCGCTTGCTGGGACGCTCGGCGGATGCCTTGGCCCACGAGGGATAAGGGTTCAGTCGGAGGAATTGCTGTCTAAGACGTCTGGAATACTCGGTGCCGCTGACAATGTCCTCGGCTTCTGAGATTCGCAATTTTCGTAGTCTCGTAGCGCTGGCAAGCGAGATGGCCAGCCTGTCGTCGTCGCTGTCTTCCCAAGCGGGCGCGTCTCCCGTGAGGGTCTTCTCTGCCGTCTTGGCCGGTTGAGGTGCCTGAATTGCAGAGTCTGGGCGTCCAGTATCGATCATGAACAGGTCTGCGTCATCCATGTCTTCGAAACCGCCCTTATCGGCGGAGTCTGCAGCCTTCGATTCGCCATTGGTATCGAGGTACTCGTTGTCGGAGAGGTCATCACCCTTGAAAAGGTTCTCTCTGAAGCCAGATGTATTTCCCAGCACTAGGCGCTCCAGCTCCTCCTCATCAGAATCCTTCTCGAACATGCCAGTGTTGGATTTCGTTGGGCGGGTGGATTCGTTGTCAGAATCTAACCCAGAGAAATCGCTCTCTGAAGTTGAGACATCGGCCATGTCTTCGTCTTTAGGCGGTGCCATCTTCTAGGAATCCTGTCCGACCGGCGATGTGGAATTTGAGGGTGGGATGTCGAGGCGAACCGGTTGTTGAACTAATTAAGACAGGCCTTCAGCGCAAGGGTAGTTTTTTTTTCTAGCTTCCGCTCCTACTTTTTTTTTTTTTGGAGCAGCTCAGCCTTGCGCAAATAGCCCCGCTGTGGGGCCTGAATTCGTTCAATCAAACAGAGAGCTGGACAAGGCTGCGGTATTCCCTCATTTATCATCGAGACCCTCATAGTCGGGCAGTCATCTCAAATCAACGGAATAGTTCACCTGGAATGTAGTATGTAATTTGATATTTTTTTGTTATATACCTAATAGATTTTATTAAGTCCTTTATTTTGCTAGTCTCTTGATTTCATCTTCAAGCGCTGGCAGCTTAGGGCTTACCGAGTCCGAGCATCTCAGCGACATCACTGCTCCCTTTTGCGCAACGTCAATCAGCTTCTCTGGACTGCCGCCCTGCGCCAGGCCTGAGATTAGCACACCCAAAAATGTGTCTCCAACCCCATTCACCGAGACGACATCTTTCACGTTCTCTACTCGTGGGAAGAGACGCATGTAGATTCCTCCCACATTGGGGTCGCCAGTATTGGATCGTGCGAGAATGAACTGCTGCGACTCTCGATCAAAAAGTCGAGGGTCATCCTTGCCCAGAAGAGTGGTGAGCAATACACCTTCCGAGCCAAGTTTTGTAAGTAACGTGGGGATGTAGGGGAGGAGCTGCACGCTCTGCACGGGGATTCCAGCGTCTGTCAGTTCGGGCGACGTCAAATAGACAAACCGCTCCCTGGCCCCGCGCATGCCAAACGCATCGATGATCTCGAACCACGCTTGTGAGCCCAAATACTCATTACCCTTGGCGGCTTCATACATGGCCGACAATTCGTAAATGTTGGGGGAGGCCAAGTCGACACTCGCGTTGGGATATAACCCAAGCGGAGAGGATCCTCGAAATGGCGAAAACAGACGCCTTGACTTCTCCACAGAAACAGGTTCGAACGCAACCTTGCAAGATTGATCCTTGCCAGCTTTGATCCAAGTCCTGATATCCTTCTCGCTCCAGTTGCCATCGACGACAAGCCAGCTTGGCTTCGTCGCCTTGAGGGTCTCCTCCCAATATTCGGGGAACGAGTGCTCAGAAAAGATGCCCATGTCAGCCATGGCCATGACCAGATTCTTGTTCGCGTCGTTCACAGCTACGTACTGCGCTGTCCGATTGGCAGGATGGAATTCTTGGCCCAGCTGCCTCACATATGTTGTGTCCATGCCGGATGCCTTGAGGGTGGACAAGACCGTTGCGCCCGCCCTATAACAGCAATTGTCAACACAGAACCTCATGATCAAGCCGACGACAAGAGATAAGAGGAACCTACACATCTTCGCCTACTAAGCTACAGAGCTTCACTGTTGCATTCCTACTTGCCCGGTGCGCAGCAAGGGCGACATTGTGGCCGACTCCGCCGATCGATTGGCTGATGGCAGCTGGATTTGAAGTGGCTGTCTGAGGTGATACATCGCCGGACTTGGCCCCAGCATAGTCGCAGCTCAGATCAACGGCTACGGATCCGGCAACAAGGATGTCGGTCTTTTTATCCACGGGAGTATCATCTTCTTTCTTGCTCGGTTCGGGTGGCGTGGAACTATGTGTGTATCTACCCAGCATCAGAGGCACTGTCCCAAGTACGTTTGTTTCGTCTTTATGCGTCTTTTTCAAATTTCTATTCTCTTCTTTTGGATTTTTTTCTTGATTGGCTTTCTATGTACTTACGGGGTAGTAGATGTCTGCGACCTGGATGACTGCAGCAGGGCTGACAGTTCCTTAGAGATGTTCGTCGCCCGGACAATGTTGGACTTTACGAGGGCCATGTTCGCAACAACGGCTCGGTCGCCGGTAAGCTCCTTCAGCCGGCCGAGAACATATGGCGTGTTCTTGCTGCCGGTGAAGCCCTTTTCGACACTCTCGGTCACGGCCTTCTCAATGAAAGCTTGCATCTCCTTGGCGGGGATGGCGAACTCCTCGGGGATGGGGTTCGCAAAGAGCATCCCCGTCTCAATGCCCAGCTTCTCCTGGCTAAAGATGATGGACGCTGCCTCCCTCTCCGTGTTGACAACGGATGGGCTCTTGCAGCCGCTGTCTCGAGCCCAGAAGGCAGGGAAATCAACATTTCCGGTTCTGCCATCAGCAAAGGTAGATATCAGGCATCCTTGTGTTTCGAGAAACTCGAGGGTACGAGGAATATCCAGGAATCCCTTGGAGCCACTGCTGACGACGGCAACACGGGTGCGGCCGAGCTCAGTCAGGTCTGCAGAGATGTCCATTGAGTTCTCTCCTCCACGGTGAACGCCGCCCAGGCCACC